GCATGGTTCGAGACGTCCTCGATCGTATTGAGCTCGCACGCTGTAGACGCCGGCATCATCTTCGGTGACATCGCGGATCTGTAGTGTCCCATATTTGCCTGGCACTGTGGCGACGCTGATTCGCTGTCGTCGGTTATGACACCCGTACCGTATGTCAGGAATCGTCTGCGTGTCTCTGATAAGCAGACGACCTGAAAGAGAAATGATGTCGCGCGCACTTCAGGTCGGTAACTTGAGGTTGTTTGCCAGTCAACTCGTAAGTTTGGGTAAGAAGGATAAATAATTTATGGATCATTATACAGAGCGAGAGCGAGAAGCAACGAGAGAGAGGAGAGGAGAGAGAGAGAGAGAGAGGAGAGAGAGAAGAGAGGAGGGGGGGGGAGAGAGAGAGAGAGAGAGCGAGAGAGAGGGAGAGATAGAGAGAGAGAGAGCGAGAGAGCGGAGAAGCTTGTATTGTGAGAAGAAATGCCAGTGCATTAGCACGCAGCGCTGTCTGGCAACTGCGTCGATATGGGCGAGATGCATGCAAATCTATTTCGGTTCATTTTAACGAGCAGACTATCGACATATTGCCAACGACAGTCGATATATAAACAACCAAATAGGGCCTATGCATGTCTGATTCTTGCAGAATATACTAATAGCTGTTGAGGTATTGTGCGGGTTTTATGCGACCACTGCACGCGGATATGTACGCGTGTGAATGCGTAATGGTGTTCGGTGTAGCTAATTGCAATGTGGTCGCATAAAAGTACAATTTATTGAAAACGGTAAGACGTACACAGAGGAGCCCGCGTCGTGTCCATTATAGAAAGCTTACAATATACATCGCAGCCACTGTAGGCGCGTGCGTATGTGATTCATTCAACATTGACCACGCTTTCTTATAGCGCATATTTGGAGCGCACACGCTCGTGCATTTACGCTCTCTATTCATCAAGCATTTTCTATAAGCAAGAGTGCGACCATAAGCAATCTGTAATCAACGTCCAATCACCCCAGCTATTAGAGAAATGGACGCTGAACAAGCTCTTGGCCTGCGTCGCCGTAAACTAGCCAAATGAGGTCAGGGCACGCAATCCGCGGACAACGTTCGTTCCCGACAGAACTGATGAACAGAGATTAGTCAATACATACATGCGTGCATGCTAAGGCAAGTGCAGCCGCGGCTGATTTGCCTACTAGCAGGCCTGCATTCTGCGGATTCGCGACGACGCCTTAACATTCGGCAGGGAAAAACAAGGACATGTCAGGAAATTCGTATATCCGCAGTTTTGGTGTATTTTAAGCAAGCTATCCGCCTATCATAGCATCGTTGCTGAACGCCTTTAGGCACAGGAAACTGTGGATCTCGCTGCGGCAGCCATTGTTGCGCTTATCATATATATATATGGCGATTCCGGCTTTTATATATTCCATCCTAATCTTATTGACCTTGTCGATTTTTTTCGTTATTCGCCTAGCACACTTTAGTTGCAAAAGATATGTAAATCTGGAAAATAGCGATTATATTATGTTACAAGACCCTAATATGTATATGATATAAGAGTAAATTACAAGGTAAGTTGAGATGGAAATGGACACGAATTCGCGCTTATGGCCGTATATCACTGTCAGCCTTAAACGTAAAGCTGCGATGTTGCCCTTTATAAAAGATGCATCTAAAGAATTTTTATGCACTGTCGTAGTTAATTTTCCTTCCAGCTAGAAATCGTGTGTAAAAAAGCTTAGGTCTCTAAACTGCGTGACTGCGTGCGAATACTCCTCTTTCGCAACCGGATTTGCAAAATGTAACAGGCATATAGCTCCTAAACGCGTGCCAACTTCTATATACACGCCGAGCGCACAAAATATTTCTGAAACATTCCTTTATTGCTGTCACACACGCTACAGGAGACGGTGCCGACTTTACACTAATACGTTCTCATAGGTTTTTAACACTGCTGTTTCAGACGCGACCCGCACTGACTATTATCTCCACTCTAAACAAATATGATCTCATTTCGGCAGTTTGCTCTTAGCGGTAATAGGCACGCAGTCGTGGAGACGTTGTGATGATGTGAGGCGAAATGGGTTCGTGTCACCTATATGGACGAACGAATGACCAAGCACGCTTGATTTGATACAACCATATACTGCCTAAGAGCTCTGAAACCCCTACCCTACGCCAGACAGTCTATGCCTCGGCCATTGTAGAAATGCACGTGTTTCTGCGTGCATGCGGCTCGTCCTATACAGCAGACTAATTGCGAAAAATCTTATTTGCTGCATCAAGATCGCAGTCGCTCTCCCCGGGCTAGTTGTCTTTATTTATTTATCTATGCCAAGTAGAACCCCCCCCCCCCAAAGAACAACACGCCATCGTCATGGGAGATATATGATTTTGATTGGAGTCCCTCTCTCTCTCTTCATCTCTCCTCTCTCCCTCTCCCTTCGCTTCGCTCGCGCGCGCGCTCTCGTTGCTCTCTTCCTTTATATAGTATAATTATAATTATATATA